GCCTAAGGAGGCCTGTGCCTACCCCTCCTGTCAGATGCCCTGTTTTTATCTCTGGGGCCGGGCCTCCTCACTCTGCTAGCAGAAGCACTCATGATAAGACACACCATGCTGGTCACTGTGAATCTTGATAGGTGAGTCTTTAATGGAATTAAAGATTTGGGGGAGGGATCATAGTCAGAAAACATAAAAAAAAAAAAAAAAAAAAATTCCTCTAAATGAGGCTAGGTGACTGGGGTGCAACTCAGTGGCAGGCAACTTACCAGACCTGAAGTTACTAAACCCTGAAATCCATGCCCAGCATTGAAAGATTCATTTAAAAATATAGAAGACATGAGGCTTACATATAATATGGCAAATCTGTAAGGTTTTTATTGTTCCCAAAGCCAAGTGCTTCTTGGAAATATCTTTCCTCAGCTTCTACAACTTCCAGGGTGACTTGAAAGAGTCAGTTCTCTTCATGGTTGTGATTGATAGCCAGTCCAAGTCTTCATTCACAAAAATTGAAAAGGGGAGCCTTATTAGTTCTTACTGTGACTTTTACAGGTAGGGATAGATTGCAGCAGTTCTAAACAGTGCCCAGCTGTCTTCCACTCTCTTTTGTTCAGTATCTTCTGGGAATTATAAGAACTGCCACAGTGACCCAAGGTCCATGACCGGAAAGGTGTTTGCTACTGTCCATTTCACATATTATTGTTCTGAGCCTCTGGCAAATGACAGATAAAGGCTCACCTAAAATGGTTCTCTGATTGATCACCATCCCAGCTGCCTATATAAGCGTACAAAGTTTTTTGTTGTTGTTTGCTTTTGTTTTACTGTATACCTGTATTTTACTGTCAGCATTTTTATCTCCACATGAAATGAAACAACTGGCCACATAAATTACAACAAGCATAGAGAAACAAGGAATAGCTCGCACCTTCAGTGTTCTCACAGTGTTAACGCTAGATGAAGTATAATTGCAGATTACCTTAAGAACCATCGACAGGTACTTATCCTAAGTCATAAGCAACTCACACTGTGAGCTGTGTGTAAATATGCCAGCTTTCTCCAGAAGAATAAGCACCCATGAAACCTACTATTTACCAGTCTTTTTTGATAAATGGAACTCTGGAAGCTCATCATAGAAATTGGAGGAACTTTCCTTGGGGGTATATTTAGATTGTTTTTAAAGAGATGTATTATAGAAGTGTGCATTACTTTTTGGGGAGTAAAATCTGTCTTGTAAAAAAAAAAAAAGCCATCAGAGACCTCACAGCCTTTGGCTAAGGAGACTGCATTTTGAATAGGGTGGTAAGCTAGATGGCACACTGGGGTGTACTTAGGTATTGGCAATGTAAGAGGGAGTGGGGAGTTTACTCTGTTGTTTTTTTAATTGTTAGGTGGTCTGTTCAGTGCAGCTGTGTTTATGGTTCCTAAATGATAACTGCCTGAACACAGTGACAAGTCCCCACACATGAGAATAGGACTTTCTGCCAGTATGGGGTGTATTTACCAAGTAGCAACAGCAAAAGCAATTCCAGGCAGTTTTACAGCTGGTTTGATGGAACAGACATTTTTGACAAGGTTGAGTTTTGTTTTTTAAGTAATTGATCCTTTAAATGATATATTTTACAGTGGAATAAACTTGGAAATGACAATTGGGAGGGAACATAGTCACATTTCTTTAGCCATTATTTGGCTTATTTAACTTATGATCATTAAAAACAGCAACATAATTTGGAAACACAGACCTAACAGGCCCATTGGTTGGTTGCTTTTTAAAATGTATTTTTATTACTTCTTTGAGACTTTCATAGAGTTTGTCATATTCATCCTATATTTCTTTCCCTAACTCCTCAGTGATCCACCCCTCTTCCCCAGCTTGTGTTCTCTCTTGTTCTAATTACCCACTGATTCCAGTTTATGTGACCCATATACTCATGGGTGTGAGGCCACCCACTGGAGCATGGTCAACCTACCAGGGGCTACACTCTTAAAGAAAATGAGCTCTCCCTTCTCCATAATGAATCAGCTACCAGTAGCTACTCCGAGATGGAGGTTGAGAGCCCTTCCCTGCTCTGGGCTAGAGTGCTAAGCGGCCTAACCTTGTGCCAGTCTTATGCCGACAATACATTGCTATGAGTTCATGAGGTCCGTGTTCTTGTCATGTCCAGAAGACACTGTTTTGTTTCCATCCTCCCTTGTCTCTGGCTCTTACAGTCTTTCCATTCCTTCTTCTATACTGTTCCATGAGCCTGAGGCTGGTGGGGATGAGGTAATAGATGTCCATTTGTGGCTAACTACCCCACTGACACTAATTCTCTGTACTTTAACCAGCTTTAAGTTTCTGCTTTAACCACCATTCACAGAAGAAGAAAAAGAAAAAAAGAAAAACTTCTCTGAGGTCTGAGAGCTGCACTAATATATGTACATAAAGATATTAATTTTGAGGGCAATTTGATACTATGTCCATTTAGCAGAATAATAGTTGTAGATTCACCTCTGGGGCCTGTGAGGTCCCCAAACCATAGATGCTTGGTCAGATTAACAATAACAGGCAAAAGTTTCCTCCTGTCGAATGGGGAGGTGGGGAAGAGATTGCTTCCATAACATGTGTGCCACTATTGCACCCATGGCTATCTTGCTATCCCTATTACTCTAGTTCACAGGGTTCACAGTTGAGCAAGACTGTGGATGATGTTTTTAAGCCTATACAGCGCCTTCTAATACTGTGAAAGCTAGGTGGCAGAGAAGCAGCTTCCTATTCAGGACCAACTTGTTTTCTCCATGTCCTGTGACCAAAGAGTGTGGTGTCTTTAGCAATAGGGTCTTGCCATCAAGTTCGAATGGGGCAAGGAAGAACAATGGCAATGGCCTGTATTGTTTTGGGAGCTTCCAGGACATCTCTCAAGGGGAGGTACCCCACACCTGGCACTGGAATTTTATTTGGAAAACTGTGGCTTTTAGGATTATCTTAGAGTTCCTATTGTGCTGGTGAAGCATCATGGCCACAAATTATTTGAGGCGGAAAGGCTTTATTTCATTGTACGACTTCCCTCATCCATGAAAGTCAGGGCAATAACTCAAGCAGAAAGGAACTAACACAGAGGCCATGGAGGAGTGCTGCTTACTGACTTGCTTGCTCCCCATGGTTTGCTCAGCCTGCTACTTTTTTTTTTTTTTTTTTTTTTTTTTTTTTTTTTTTTTTTTTAATCCCCCAAGACAGGGTTTCTCTATGTAGCTTTGTAGACCAGATTGCCCTCGAACTCACAGAGATCTGCCTGGCTCTGTCTCCCAAGTGCTGGGATTAAAGGCGTGCGCCACCACCACCCAGCTCAGCCAGCTTCTTATACACTCAGAACCGCCTGCCCAGAAGTGCCACCACCCACAGTAAGGTAGGCCCAACCACACCATTCATTAATCAAGAAAATGTCCCGCAGGCTTTTCCACAAACTAGTCTGGTGGGTGCACTTTCTCAATTGAAGCTCCTTCTTCTAAAGTGACTCTAGCTTGTGTCAAGGTGGCAAAAACTATCCAACATAAGAAGGAACATTATCCCCAGTGAAGGGTAATTCCAGTTAAACTCTTATATAAATATATGTGTGTATGTATATTTATATAAGCTTATAAATACATATAACATCTTTTAGTATTAGTCATCCTTCTCCCTAGGCCCTACCCTCCCATCCCTCTTTACACCTAAACCTTCCCCCCACTTACATCATCTGTGTTCTATCATTTTGCTTCAAGGTGCTTCTCCCCCACTCCCTACCAAAGCACCCTCTGGCTTTCTGGATTCTACATATTCTCCAAATTAAACACACACATTTAAAGATCACCTAGGAGTGGAACATGTAACATGTGTCTTTCTGGTTCTGATATTGGTTACCTCACTCAGTTGTATAGTGTTTTCTAGTTCCATGCATTGATCAGCAAATTTCATAATTTCATGTTTGCTCTTAAAAACAAAAACAATGGCATGGAGTTGTAGCTACAACAAAACGACACTTGCCTGCAAAAGAGAAAAATATATATAACAAGTAAATAGATTCACAAATTAGTCATAATTTCAGAATTATATGGAACATGTGGGAGACTTAGGTGTAAAGGCCTAACGGCTAATTTTGTTTTTTAAATTATGTGTATGTTTTAATAAAACATGGAGGTGTGTGTGTGTGTGTGTGTGTGTGTGTGTGTGTGTGTGTGTGTGCGCTTGTCTGTCTGTCTGTCTGTGAAGAAGGGGATATGTGCACATGAGTGAGTACAGGTGCCCCTGGAGCCGGAAAAGAAAATCAGATTCCCAGGAGCAGGAGTTACAGGCAGCTGCCAGCCATCCACTATGGGTGCTGGACTCAAATGTTGGTCTTCTGGAGGAACTGTGTGTACACTTCATCACTGAGCCATCTTTGCAGCCCTAATGACTAGTCTTGGGTGCATTTTCTTAGTGTTATATCCCTCATAACTCAAATTAATGTTTATTACTATTCTCCCATATTGCCAAAATATTTCCCTGAATTTGGATTAGAAGCAGCTTGTCCTGGCTTGTTATTCGAGTTTGTTGCAAGAAACAAAGTGATATTTAGATCTTGGTGTATTTTAGGAGCTTTTTTCTTTCTTTCTTTCTTTCTTTCTTTCTTTCTTTCTTTCTTTATTTATTTATTTCTTTCTTGTGTGGAAGAAAGAAATCTGATCAAGTGGTTTCCTAGTCACATAAAAACTGAGTTTGTGCTGTGGTGGTTTTGCATTCCTGCAAAGGTAATGTTTTTCAAGAGATTTGAATGAGTGATGTTTAGTGTTGTCAAGCAACTGACCGACCATCTACAGCCTGCTTTAAAAGCAAGAAGCAGCTATGGCCCAGGACACTATATGGGCTGATACTTTTTTTTTTTTTTTCAAAATACAGTTTCTCTGTGTAGCCCTGGTTGTCCTGGAACTCACTCTGTAGACCAGGCTGGTCTAGAACTCACAGAGATATTTTGGAATTCTTGTTTCTTTACCCTTGTCTTTTCTTCTTCCCCCAGATTGGTGAAAGACAACAAGTGCTAGTAACAGAAGAATCTTTTGACTCCAAGTTTTATGTTGCACATAATCGATTCTATGAGCAGGTAAGAATCATTCATATTCACTTTTGAATACAAATTCAGTTCTGAAAGTTTAAGCAAAGGACTGAATCAAGGGACCAGGCTATAGAAGGGGAGCCTGATTTTTTTTTTTTTTTTCAGTTACTGAGTGTACTTTGGGCCACACTAGTCTAGGACAGGGCAGCCTTGGGCTTCTAGGCATTGGGAACTGAGCAGCTAGCACAAAGAGAGTAGAGAGGGGCCCTGTTAGGAAGGCAGGGGAGAGAATATGCACATCAGCATGAGTTGCAGGTAGGTGAGGAAGACTGGCAAGGGTGGGTGGCCTCTAAAACCCTCTGAGGGAAGTTGTTTCACCCTCACAAGGCCTCCTCGGTGGTTAATCTGTCTGAATGGAGTCCAAATAGGCCCTTTCTCTGCTGTTCCCAGCCTTTTTAGCAAAGTAGAAATCTTAAAAACATAGAAAAATTAAATCAAACCAAAAATACCTACCCAGTAAACAAACAGCCACTGTAGAGGGATCTTTAGAAGCACCTGACTTCAGTCACCACCTGGGACTTTACCCCCTTCCCCCCCTGGGGGCGGGGCATATCAGATGTGACTTACAGAGTGCTTCCCTGGGGGAAGAACCCTGGATGGACCAAGGAGGACAATGGGAAACGTGTCCTAGGAGACACTCAGAGTGGTGTGGGATGGCCACAGATGGTTCTGAGCCGTATTAATTTTCCTTAGAGTCGAATGGTATTTCCTATCCTTCTGTTCTTTCTCATCAGATGAGAAGTGGGTTTTTTTTTTTTCTCTCTCTCTCTCTTTCTCTCTCTGGGTCGTGACTAGAATTGGAATTTGGGGATTATTAAGTACTATGTGGGCACTTCAGATAAGGCTGGGCAAGGGAAACCACTACTGGATTTAGAGAGCAGTGAAGAGGCCTCACTATTACTTATCCACATGGAATGCTATCAAACTGGGCAGCAGTTCCTAGGTGGGACTTCTCAGAGCCCAAGTAGACACGCTTGTTGGGTACAGAGATGGCCACAACTGAGGAAGGAGCCCCCGTACCTCAGCTTTAAGCTGAGCCTCTTCCAGTTCCCATCTCAGGAAGAGCCATTCTCCTATGCAGGACAACCCTCTGCTCAGCCTTGGGGAGGACTCTGATGTATTTTGGTTGCCTCTTCCCTCTGCTTTCTCCTGCCATCTGGGTTTGTGCCTCAGCAGGGAAACGTTCCCCCTTCATTTAAAAGGCAATGGCATGCCTCATTAGCTGTTTCCTCCAGTGTAAGGCAGTTGGGCTTTTTCCAATTATTAAAACCCGAGGGGAAAAAAAACAAGAAACACTGAGCCCTTCATTCAGGTCAAGGCAGCAGATCAAGAAGGTGTATATTCCCCAGGAATAGCACCAAAATTTCTAGGCATGGTTTGGGTTTAGGGATTTTCTTACTTTATAAAAATTAATTTAAAAGGACCTGATACTAATGTTCTTTTAGTTGGCCTGTTTGCCATGAGTCAGTCACCCTCCAGGTGACCTTTTTCCTATCCTTTGATGAAGCCATGTGTGTAGTGATCATAAAAAACAAAACAAAACAAAACAAAACAAAAAAACTGACTTCAGAAAGACCAACACCCAGTGTGGCAACTGCAGGATCTTCCCTGTCCTTTCCTGACACCCACCCCCCTTTTTTTCTGTCTCTATAACTAAGCCTTTCAAAGCAGAGTTTTTATTTCTGAATAAGATTGCATCAAAATATCAAAGGATTATTGGTTTAGCACTGGTCTATTTATGTTGGATCCTGACTTGAAGAGGTTGGCAAGTAGCTACAGTACTAAAGCAGAGGTGTCAGGGATAGAATGCATACAAACTACCTGTAGGTTCCCAACAAGAGGAGACATTCGATGAGGTAAACATGGATCTCTATCAGTGTATCAGCAATCTCTAGCAGAAACAGCCGTTTAACAGTTCCCTGTGAGCCAGCTAAAGTGGCTTTCAGAGTGACTGCTTCTGGATAGAGATTGGCTCATGAGACTAACACACACATTTCTTTTCTAACAACAAAAGGCATGAAAGGCCAGAGGAGTCATTTTGACAAACACCAATGTGCTGTACTACCTAAAAAATTGCTTCAAAATGCCCTTCCTCTTGCCCTTTTGCATATATGCACACGCGTGTGTGCGTGCATGCGGACACACACACACTCTCTCTCACATACACACTCTCTCTTCTCTCTCTCACACACACTCTCTGTCTCTCACACACACTCTCTGTCTCCCTCTCTCTCTCTCTCTCTCTCTCTCTCTCTCTCTCTCTCTCTCTCACACACACACACACACACACACACACACACACACACACACAGGGCCTTCATTTGAAGCATCTACTGAACCATTTTTCTGACAGCTAAATTGGAAAGTATTGGAAGTGTGAGGCTTTCATAACTTTTGAATCTGTTCTCTTCCTTGTGCAGTACAGGCAAGGGCAGACTATCAGAGACCAGTCCAGAAGTGTTTGGCTGGCTGTTGGAAATTTCACAGGCTTCCTGCCACTGTGCTTCAGGACAGCTGGCGTCTGGTGATGGAGAGGCCCTGGGTCTGAAGCCCCTTGGCTCCTCCCAGAGAAGCCTCGCCACTCTCCAGGGCTCCAAATCCTTGAGCAGCCAGGAGATAGCGCACTCTGTAATGGGATCCCAGAACAGAACTGTCTGCAGACATTTAAATAAAGTGAGGACTTAGTTGGTGGTGGCATATCATTTTTCATTCTTCACTGTGACAAACACACTGTGCTACTGTAAGAAGTTAATGTGGAGAGAGTGGTGTGGGAGCAAGAAGCCTTCCTATGTCATTGTTCTATAGCCTAGAACTATTGTAAAATAAGGCTGATACTAAAAACTTCCCATTTCTGAAAATCTGTTTTAAGGTTTTAGTGCCAAAGAACCCTGAATTCATGGGGAAAATGGTTGAAGTAGACATTTATGAATCAGGAAAACACTTTTTGAAAGGACAGCCAGTATTGGACACCAAAATCTACACGCCATCCATCAGCAAGCCACTGGCCAAGGGAGAAGTGTCGGGTTTGACAAAGGTAAGTTAAATGTTCTTTCCCTCCACACTGCCAATGGCATGGAAACTTAGGAAGCACAGTGACCCTGTACCATGAGTCTGTAATCACATATAGTCCCCTTTTCAAGGACGCACAGGCTCTGCCCCTTTCTGACAGACGGAGATCTGGAGGTGCAGCTGTGCATTTGCTGGTGTAGCCTTTTGCTTCTCTGCCCTTAAAGGGAATAACATGCTTCCTTTTTCAGGCCAGAGCAGAAGGCAAAAAGCCTTTATTCACAGGTAAGAGATTCAACACCAAGGGTGAACAGACCCAGCATGTTTCTATATTGTAGATCCTGAAGGGAGGGGGTTGAGAACCTGATGTTCTCCTGCTGACAAAGCTGTTTGTAGCACAGTTAAAGCCTACAGGTGAACAGACACTAAGCCGTGCCATACACATGGTGTGGTCCCTCTTGCTAGTGTGAGCAGCATATATACTTGAGTCCTGTGGAGTGAAAATTAAACATTTTTTCATTCTATAAAAAAAGGAACCTGGCCTCTGTTTTATACCTTGGTAAATATGGCTGTTTGCCAAGCTCTCTCACACATTTCATTGAGCTACGGTTGTAAAAGCTGATGGAGTGTGAAATGAAAATGTGTATCACATTTCTAGGCATCATTTGATGTCCTTTCTTCAACACAGTTGTTAAACACCCCCTCCCACAAAAGTATATAGCAATGATTTAACATATGGAAGAAAGATAACTGGTACTTACCTGCCCATGCAGTTCCGAGACCATTTTCCTCTGTAGCTCTTAGTTTGACTGAATAGTAAAGACATCCTAATTGAAATCACGGAAGTATAGCTTTGCTTCAGGAGTAGTGGCAAATGTGTCCTCCGCCTCTGTTATTTCTGATGATGTTGAACCCAAATCCAATAAGAGTGGCACCTTTTCTGTACTTGGCTATTGCTTATGAGGGTACCTATACATGGTATCTCACCCACAGCAGGGAGGCATGGATTAGCATGTGTCAAAACCATGCCAGCTTTCTTTTTTTATGTGCATACACTTTAGTATTATTATTATCATTATCATTAGCAGTGTGTGTGTGTGTGTGTGCGTGCGCGCCCAAATATGAATGTCAGAGGGCAACTCTGGGGAGTTGGTTCTCTCCTTCCTCTGTGAGACCCAGGAATTGAATTCAGGTTGTCAGGGTTGTTCAACAACTGCTTTCTTCCACTGAGGCATCTCACCAGTATTTTTATCTTATTTTATGTTACTTTATTTTACTTTGTGACAGGGACTCATGTACACTAGACTAGACTTGAACTCACTTTGTAACTGAAGATGACTTTGAACTCAAATGCTGGGATTACAGGGCATGTACTGCTGTAACCAGTTTGAGGCTACCATCTTGTTAAAATTTGAGAAACAAAATCACTGATGTTTATTTGTGGTTTGGGAAGTATTTTTGTTATTGTTTTCATTGTTTGGGGTTTTGTTTGCTTGCTTTAATCTTATGTGAAAGTTGGAGAGAATTGCCTGGAAGCAACAGTAGTCTGGCATTGAAATGAAATGGCTAAATATTTGACTTGATTATATCAGCTTATTCTCCGAATGTTTTTCAAGGAAATTAGCTAACCTATAGTGTGCTTTAAGAGATTTTTTTTTTTTTTTTTACTTGCCTTTCTGTGGCCTTATGCTTGCTGGGAAAGCCCTCTGTGACAGTGCTATATCTCTAGCTCTATGAGGTGTTGTTGGATTTTCTTGGTCCCACCTGGTCCCGCTGCCCTTGGGCCACAAATAAACACACAGATGTTATATTAATTATAAATTGTTGGCCAGTGGCTAGGGCTTCTTATTGGCTAATAATTATTCACCCATTTATATTAATCTATTTCTTTCCACCTGGCCTTGGCTTACCAGAGAATGCCCAGACCTGTTACTCCTTTGGCGGGCTACATGGCAACTGACTCTGGCAGGCTTTCTCTGCCTACCTTCCCCAGAATTCTCATCTCCTAGTCCTCCCTATCTTCCTGCCTTATTGGCCAACAGTGTTTTATTCATCAGCCAATAGAGAAGCATATATATAGAAGGACTTCCCCCATCAATAAGGTTGGTTTTTAATTACTGTACTGGAAAGAATTTTACAGCAAATGGCAGCAATATTTTAAAGGCCCCGTGTGGCTTAGTTCTCACCTGTGGGTCTCTTGTGAAAGGCTCAGGCTCTAAGCCTTCTGTTAGTTCTCTATAACAACAGCCCTTTCTGCTACGCTTGCACGTGTGCCTTCTAAAAATCCAGTGCTGCTTCAATTCTAAGAGGCCCGCTTGTCTCCTCTCCTCTCCCTTCTTCCAGCCTAGGAAATAGTTTTGCCACAAACCCGCCTTTGCACAGGAAAGCTCAGAGGCCAGATGTGATGAGTTCATGTGGTTCCTAGCTTCCCTGGGCTTATTATATAAATGGACTATTTTACATGCATGAAACTACAAGCAAGGACTCTGGGGGAGTGGGGGTGTTAAGGGAAATGCCCCACAGCTCTTTCTTGCATTGTTGTTTGTGACTTCCTCTTTTCCTCTTTATCTGTATTTGCCAGTCTTTAAACACATGACCGACATTCCAGGATCAAAAGACTTTGATATTAAACTGCTAAGCCATCTCTCAGGTCACGTTTTACATGTTTAGCCCTGTGCTTTGGGCTTACCCTGTTGTATGTCAGGCCCTGCTGACATCCTTCAGTGGAACTGGTGAGAGGGACAGCTGACTAGGGAAGCCTTCTAGGCAATGGAGGAGGAGGCCTGAATTATATGATTCTGTCCCTTTAATTCACTTAATGACCTTCATATCACTGAGCTCCCCAAACCCTGGTTGTCTCACATACAACATGGTAATGTAGAGTGGGCGCTAAAGAACCTTCTGTCTACTATTCAGTGAATTAAAAAAATCTTGACAGTAGACTCAGTGCTACCACATGGAAGAACTTGGAATTCCATAAATATTAATAATCAAGAATTATTACTTTACATAATGATTAGATTCCCCAGAGCTGATGGAAAGAGGTACTATAGTAAATTAGAGTTGCTGTCTCTAAGAAATTACATTTTCATGGAAAAGGACAGAGAGAAACCTCTTTTTTTTTTCTTCTTTGACACACTGTGAATTGGACCCAGAGCCTCCTCATATGATACAAGTCTCTACCATGTAATTCCCACCTTTATAAATTTTATTTTGAGACAAGGTCTTGATCATTTGCTTTGTCCAGCCTGTCCCCATTGTCCTGCTTCAGTTTCCTCAGAAACTGGGCTTCTAGGTGTGTGCCATCGAGACAGTTAGAAATGTCAATTCTCTTCTTCCCAGTTTTATTAGAGGTGTGGAGGAGGAGAGAAAAGTAGAGACACAATTAGTCTGACTATTTTTAGGGAAGATGGGAGTCAAATGCCACCCACAACTTAAGAAATAAGTTGAGGAAGTGTGGTTGATTTAGGAAATGTTATGTAATAATTTAAGTGAAGGCATCTGAGCTCAGAGACGACTGTAAATCAAGTGAAGGCCAGACTGTGACCTTTCTCATAGCACAGCTGTGCCAGGGGACTGGGCTCTTAAGGTGGAGGAAGGAATGGTGACATATAATCTGAGACAATAATTCTGCACTGTGGTCCCCATGTTCACAGTGCTAGCATTATCCCCGAGCTGCAGAAGAACACCAGTTCCACACCTGCCTCTCCCCAGCTTCCCAAGTCAGAAACTCTGGGAATGATTCAGTCAAGTATTTTTAGAGATATGGAGTTGTTTCGTCTAGTCCTCTTTTTGAGATCAGAACACACTGTATAGTCAGTGCCGCTCTGGAATTCATTATGTAACCTAGGCTGGCCCCAAACTCATAGCACTCCTTCTGTCATACTAGGATTACAGGTATGAGCCATCGTGGCAGATACATGATCTATTTTTAAAATTTATTTCTATCACAATTCCATATATGTAAAACTTTGCTTATATTGTACCCCTGTTATCTTATTCTCTTCCTCCAAACCTTTTCTTTCCAAATAGTTCCCTTTCTACTATGATACAGTACACACATGGAGTAGAGCACCCCGCTGCATTTAATTAGGGTTGCTTGCAGGAGCATAAGTGGGAAGTATTTATTTGAGCACGTATCAGTGACCACACTGCTGAGGAATATGACTCTACCTGCCCCCTATGCACCTCAAAGGAGAATGGGGCCTCATGAGCCTCTTCCTCATGAATAACAAAATCCTGATGGACAGTCTTGTACAGATAGCCACTACTGCTTTGAGTTCATCAGAGCAGCGTGCCATGTCCAAGAAACAGAATCATAGCCTTCTTCTGCCTTCTCTTCATTAATACTCTCTGGGCCTTTGAGGGGATGATAAAGATGCACTATTTAGGGTTGAGCACTCAATAGTCCTTTATTCTCAGCACTTTGGCCAGTTGTGAGTCTCTTCTTTAACCACCATCCATTGCAAACAGAAGTTTCTCTGACCAAAGCTGAGAATAACACTAATCTATGGGGATAAATGTAAATGTTTAGAAGGCAGTTGGACACCACTTTCATTTAGCAAAACAACAGTTATAGGTCACCCCACATACACACACCCATAGGCCTTTGACAAGGTTTACAATACTAGACATGATTATTTTTTAGACATGAATTCTTTCCTGCCTCACATCCAATCATAAGTGGTTGGTTACTGCCTCTCAGTACCAGTGAGCACATTTTGCTGGTTGGTTGGTATTAAAACTCACAGGATTCATAGCTGGATAAGACCATGAATGAGTTTTCCCCTCCAGCAGCCCACATAACACCTTCCAGTGCAATGAAAGCTAGACAGCAGGAACAGTTCTCCTAAGCCATTTCTCTAGGACCTGAAACAAAAGTGCATGGTGTTTTCAGCAGTAGGGTCTTATGAATTTAGTTACAGTGGCTAATCAAGAGCAATGGCAGTAGTCTGTGTTGTTTGGGAAGTATCTGGGTCCTTTCTGATCAACAACTCAGCTCATAGGATAATGTCCCATACCTGGCAC